TCTGCTTCTATGAAATATGTTGAACGAAAGAATGAAGCTTCTGCTTCTTTGAATTTTAACGAAATTTCAAGGTTCTTGCTTCATGGAATGACCACGTTACTTTGGTCTCATTTTTGATTCATAAGGAATTGTAAAAGTCACGTTTCCTAGCCATAAAAATCTGATCTTCAAGTGTTATTTGAGAATGTAAAGTTTGAATGAGTTATATGTATATCTAACGTTTCCTTCCACTCTTTAATTCAAGACTTTGATATCTTGGGAATGAAAAGGTTTTGTAATTTTGTGACACCTAATCAAGGAATGACTTAGTAATTTCTTGATAATGTGGCTAGTTACCAAGGTGGGATATTTAATCTTTATTCACTTATTAGGTAATTGGGTAATGTCTCATTATCCGGTAATTAACCAATTACTCGTATAATTAAGAATTATCTCAAATTACCTAAAAATAATACTCATTTTAATATACTTTATGGCCATATTGTACCTTGTATGGTACTAGTCCATAATTATCGGGTAGTATCGCTCAACCCGTACTTTATCCCAAATTGGCCATTTTCAACGAAACTCGTTTTTTTTAATTCACGTACCTTTTTATCCTTCATAATACTCATCCTCGAGTCTACGTCAATTAACTGAAGACGAAACTTTTAACGTACGAAAACACGAGATGTAACAATGGTCTTATGACATTTCGAAAGATTTTATTGACGTACTTCTTATGCATTGCATTCACATATACTACATGTGTATGGGACATAGGATATGGTTACGACATTATAACTCATGACCAGATAACGTTATATATACGCTATCTATTATATGTATATGGGATATGGGAAAAGGTTACGTGTACCAGCTAATATGTATATGGGATATGGGAAAAGGTTACGACGTTATATACGTACCACCACCTGATTAGCTGGTATACGACGATGATTTTGCCCACAGTGGCCGATATGATATGATAGGATGCCCTCAGAGGCCTGATAATGTTATGAAACATGGAAAACATGTATGATAGGATGCCATAAGTATTTCATGATTTACAAAGTTTTTCAAATTTACAGGTTGAGTTATTTACTATTTCTTCCATGTCTCTTATGTACCTTACATACTCGGTACATTATTCGTACGGACATCTCTTTTGCCTGGGACACTATGTTTCATGCCCGCAGGTCCCGATAGACAGGTCGAGAGCCCTCCAAGTACGTTCCATTTGCTTCGGAGTTGCTTGTTTGGTTAGTATGATTTAGACGTGTAATGTTTGGTATGGTGGGACTCTGTCCCGACCTTTATGAAAATTATGTATTCTTAGAAGCTTGTAGACAGATGTCATGTACGTGAAAGATTGTACGGTCTTGTCGGCCTATTTTGAGTTTATAAATGATAATATTGGCATATTAGGAACGTATGTCACGTGTATATGATGATGTAATAAGAAAGATACGTTACATTGGTACTCGGTTGAGTAAGGTACCGGGTGCCCATCGCGGCCCATCGGCTTGGGTCGTGACAGAATTACATTCCGACCCCGACATTACTAAAGTCAACCCTCGGTCAAACCTCTCAACCTTCCAAAACTTCATTTTTCCAAATTTCACCAAAATACTTCAAATTAACCTACGAACCTCCAAATCCAAATTCAGACACACGCCTAAGCGCAAAATCACCATATGAAGTTGTTGGAATCATCAAGCTGCCACTTCGGAGAGTCAACTCTTACTGCTTAAGTTTCTAAAACAGAAATGCTTCTTCCAAATTGATTCTGAATAATCCAATAATTGAACTCAGCCATACATTCAAGTCATAACACAATATACGAAGCAACTCGAGACCTTATGTCGCTGAATAGGACTTTAATTCTCAAAATGACCGGCCGGGTCGTTACATATATCCCCTCTTAAATAAATATTCATCCTCAAACGTGCCAAGAATCATCTCGAAGTCATTAAATCGCTAAATGCATTCATCCTACATGTCCGCGGGTGACCCCACAGCATCCCAATCCACATAAGCCTGACGACACCATCTCAACTGTAATTTATCCCTTACACCACCAATACACCCTACATGTTAGAGCTGAAATTTTCACCATTCGCTCATCTCCAAAAGACCTGATTCCTACCTCAACCAGCTACAATAACTTATGCATGCACTCACAAGGTACAACCACGCAACGTGACACATTACCCATATGCCCATAACAACTCCAGCACTGGCAATTAGCACAATAGTTGCCCGTAATCAAATCCAGCACTGGCAATTAGCCTCATAACCGTTAGAACCCTGTTCCAACCTTCACAACACTAACAGCGATGCAATAAATAACTATTCACTGGACCAACATGTAACACCAGAGCACACACCTCACAAGCTAAAAACTCAATAAGCACAACACGAAAATGACTGAATATGTAGAAACACGTTATCAAACAAGCCCGACAGGAACAACTCCCAATCAGTACCATTCTACGAATCAACTCTGCAATGAAGAATCAAAACATATGGACAAACAACAAGGATCTCATCCTAATATAACTTTCATCACGGTACGCAACCCCCCGGTTCATACACATCAAATCACATGAATCACAAGTAGAAGCCAATTGAAACCTTCTACTAACTTAATTCCGCCAACAAAATCACAATACATGCTTCAAAATCACTAGTCACTAGTCACCGGTAGAGCATCTAAATCACTAGTCATAACCCATCACCCAGAATTCACATCAAACCATCGAAATGAGAAAAAGAAAGTCACTCATAGTCTCATAACTCTCAATAGTGAGTTAAAAAATAAACGATAGAGTAATAAATCACTATAGGATCTCCCAACAGGGGTAAACACACAAACAGAGTAATAAATCATGAAACTCACCCATAGGTGAAGCAAAAATAGGGGGACTCGCCTCGATAAGCTGAACTGAAACAAAATACGAATGATGCTCCTCCATAACAAATAAAATCCATACATGTACGACATCACCCGGTGCAGTGACCTCAGACCTACTGTAGGATATCAATAGTCTGGGCCTCCCCCTCTTGGGCACCCTCTACTCGCTTGAATACCCCACTGTGACACATCTGTCCGAAGTCTAGGATAATCTCTCACTGGCTAGTATCTCCACAGTTGAAGCAACTTCTCTGCTGATGTGTATGTAGTATGGATACTTTGAGACCCATGAGCACCTGAAACACAGTGCGAGGCATGAAGTGCAAACTAAACTTGCTAACCGACAAAACCTCTACCATGTCATACCCTGCCCCCAAAATAAGGACCAGCAGATCTCTCCGGTCTGTGAGGCAACTTCCCTGTCCTCTCTCTCTGGACCTCGCCTGCCCTCTCTCTTCTGGTCCTACATGCCCTTTAATCGTCGATCGATCTCCACCACCAGCTGAAATGAAACATCTGACTCCAACTCCCAAGCCATACTAAACTGAATATCATGTCTGAGCCCCTCAATGAACCGAGGGACTCGCTCCCTAACTGTAGTGACCAAAGCAGGTGCATGTCTGGACAAATCATTGAATCTAACAACATACTCTGACACTGACATAGTGCCCTAGTGCAGCTCTCAAACTCCGTGCACCATGCATCCCGAAGGGACTGAGGAACAAACTCTATTAGAAACAACTCTGAAAACTAAGCCCATGTTGCATCGGCCGGGCAACCCAATTCATACGCTCGCCACTACTGATATGCAGCCCTTAAGCTGGAACATAGTAAAAGCAACCCCTCTCATCTCCACAATACCCATAGCGCGGAGAATGCGATGGCACTCCTCTAGAAAACCCTGTCCACACTCTGAAGTCAAACCACTGAAAGTAGGAGGGTCATACTTCTTGAACCTAAGTTGTTCATCCTCAGATGTTGCTGCCCTAACCACGGACTGAACGGGAATCGCAGGTTCTATCGTCATGACACCTGGAACCAGACCAACATGAACTCACTGCTTTGGAGTACGGGCCACGGGAGTCTGAGTCCCTCCCCCGATCTGTGAAGTAGCCGGTGCAACCGAAATCAACCCCATCTGAGCCAATGTACCAAACATGCTCAAGAAGTGCTAAAATCTCTTAAAGTTTGGGTAACAGCCTCTCCGGTACCTATCCCCCAACTTGAACTACTAGTAGTTGGTAAGTGACCTACTGCGGCATGCGCTCCTCTTCGGCCTCGGTTTTGGCCTGTGCCCCTAGCAACACCTGCTCAGGGGGCAGCATTATCAGTAACTGCAGCTCATGTCCTCACCATCTATGAGAGAATAGAACGATAAAAGCTCAAACTTCGGGATCAATAATCTCGCACAATAATGAAAGAAGTGAAACTTTCCTAATAGTTTCGTAGAATCTCGAAGATAAGTTGAAAAAACTATGTACCGATCCGCAATACTCTACTAAACTTGCTTATGACTCATAACTATGAGCGTAAAGCTCTGATACAGACTTGTTGTTATACCACATTTTATCACGGGTCGAATTATAGTATATAACCTATTGGAAATCTTGAGGTTTAATTAATTTTAAGAGTCGCCACCTAATTTTAGTTAAGTAATGCTTAAGTTAACTCTATTTTTATGGTCTGCTTAACCTTAAAAATTATAGGTAAGTGTTCTAACTAATCCTATAGGGAAGGTTATTAAAGCACTCTATATGATCTGTTAACTACGGTTAACCAGCCAAACTTAGGCTAATTAGTCCAAGATTTTAGAATAAATTAGATGTAAGCGTAACATCTTTCAACGTCAAATGACTTCTTTTGACTTATTAAAATTTAATTCTTAAAGAAAAAATAAAGTTTTCCAGTTGCTTAAAGTTAAGCAATTCTCGTAAAAAAAATTACCTGGTTAGAATTAAACATCTTAGTTCAAAAACTTAATGATATTAGAAACGAGCTTGACAAGAAGTTATCGGAAAGCCATCGTTTTAACAAATTGATTTCTTAAAAAAAGTGTCATAGGTATAATATTAAGCTTATTAGAAAATGCTTAAGCATTGGTAAATTGATGAAAAGGTTATTAAATTAGTGATCTTAAATTCCTAAAGATTATATAAGTACTAGAACCCCAAACTAAAATAAACTCCAAATATAGAAATAAATTAATAATAATAAAGATAGATAAAAAGAATAGCAAAAGTGGCGCCCCAAGCGTTTCACTTGTTTCTTTCTTGCTATCCGGTAACTCTAGTAGATGGAATGTGACTGACTCCATGTGATGGTGGTGGAGATTCTCACTTTGAGACTCTTTATAACTCCAGCATTACATGCCAAATAAAGTAAAGGGTGAAATTAGAAGAGAGCTTAACCCTTAATATGCACGAAAAATAAAATAGCAAAGCAGAAAGATGAATAGTTGACTATAGGTGAGTGTTCTAAGGATTATAGAGATCTGAAAGAAATTTTAAAACTACACATAGGATACATACTGCCAATGTTAGTGGTAATTAGATGAAGAAAGAATGCATTTGCAGAACTAGAGAATTACTTGTAATTACCCAAATTCCAAGGAAAGAGCTGGACATGATTTCTACCACTAAGAAGTCTTAAAGGTACCCTTTACAAACGTGCTAATTTAACATGCTTCCAAACAATTAGAACAAACTACTGCTACTCCATATAACATTTAATTACTTAGATAGAACAAAAAAATTCTCCCAACCTGATACATATCGACAAATAAATGACCAGGGGGACAGAATGCAGACTCAATGTAAACCCATACAATTCTTTCAAACACCTGATTAATTACCTGATATATGCCCATACAATTCTTTGTGATATATGCCCATATATCACAAAGAAAACTTTCTATAACATTTAGAGCTAAACTGCAAGCATTCGTTATTTGTTAATATCAGATTTAGTAGTATTATAAATCCTATAGGCATGACTGAATAGCGAGATGTCACTGACAACTTGTTTCAGACTACCAATACTTTAAACAAATACATAGGTTTCATGTATCAGACTCGAAAGTGCATATGGAATTTACATAATTAGTTAACATTAGGACTTAACTGAAGAGCATCTAATTAAATAGACAACCGTATCCTATACTGAATAGCGAGATGATGACTACTGCATTAATCAGCTTCAATCTCATGGAACAGACAACCGTATCCTATACTGAATAGCGAGATGATGACTACTGCATTAATCAGCTTCAATCTCATGGATCAGACAACCGTATCCTATACTTTTACAACAATTCTTATAAGTTCTAACACACACGTCCTAACCATTTTAAGGGTGATAATCAGAACACAGTTATGAATACATATGGACATGCTATCAATTAACGATTTAGTTTAAAATGCAAAAGTTCTAAACATGGTTTCTAATATATTGACAACAACTAAGAATACTTAACTCATGATTCCTAACAAACAACGAACATAGAATGATAAGTCAAATTAATTACATCAGAGGTTAATAAGAAGCACTTCAAATGTCTAAAAAGAAACGAAAGGGAAGTAACAACATTTTTTCCAATATGTGCAGATTATAAACATGCTTAGAACTGCGGAATCGAAAAGAGGAGAATAATCACTGACCTATTTTAGGGCAGCGAACTGAGGCGTTGGCTTTGGATCTACCGAACTCCGACCTCAAACTTGCTAACTCAAATGATTGTTAAACGATGCAATAGGCAACAAAATGCAGTACTTGTATTTAAAACCAACACAATCAAGAGACAAAAGAAAAGAGAAGATTTTTGGCAAGGCAAAATTATAAGAACGAATGAGAGCAGTAGCTTTTAGGAGTCATCGAGTGGCGGCCCGGAGTCCCCCTAAAATGGATCCAAAAGTGAGTATTTATAGGCGAAAGTATTAGGTTTCTTGGCTTGGGCGGGACTTTTATGAATCACTGGCCGTTTGAATTTCAAAAGCTGTTTGAGAAATTTTGTTGAGAGGAAAAAGAAAGTATCCGTTCAACGGATCTGAATCCTTGATACAGAGGCCGAATCTGACCTTCTAAAAAAATGTCTGTGGCTTCTTGTGTTGACCGAATCTACATGGCAGATGTGATTCTTAAAGTTAAGATATTAAAGCAAGGAATTTCACAAAAATAGAAGGGACAAAGTCTGCCCATGGAAAGGAAGGAGAAACTTTGTCAAATAAAGTAAAATAAGAGAGAAAGGGGCATCATCTACTTATGAGATATTATAGGAGTCCGGAATCAAAATGTAGTTTTTTTTTACTCAAACTACACAAATAGGTGGTAAAAAAATGACCTTTTTTATATATAGCGTCATAATACCTGGCGCTATATACTAACAGTAACGGAACTGTTAAGGTATAGCGCCAGGTATTGTGGCGCTATACTGTAAAAGCTGACATGGCCAGGTATAGCGCCACAATACATGGCGCTTTATATACAGCATTAATGTATAGCGCCAGATATAGTGGCGCTATACATAGATATTTTATACCCCTCCGTCTTCTTCTCCAATTCATCCATCCACCATTATTTTAAAACCCTTCCCCTCTTCTTGGTCCTCCACCGATTCTGCCCGTTTCTTTGAAAAAAAAAATTTGGGTCCCCCGACACATAAAACTCGAAGAAAAAGGGTCCCACATTCGAGTAGAGTTTCGTGCTATTGTTGATTCACAATTCCGGAGTCAAAATTGCAATCTTTTTGCTTTGCCAAAATTGTAAATCGAGGTATTTCGATTTATTTTAAGTTGAAACATTTATAATAATGTATATTATTTGATTTGTATGTGTTCTATTTCGGTTTGTGTTTTAATATCCTGATTTATATATATGTTTTTTCATTCTGTTTTGTATTTTATTCGTAATTAAATTTATTTGTTGTTTATGCTTAGTTTAGATTATTTTTTAGCGTAGTAAAATCCAGACCTTTTTAGCGTAGTAAAACGTAGACCCTTATAGTGTAGTAAAATTTAGAGCCTTGTAGCGTAGTAATGTGTAGTATTTTAGCTTAGTCCTTTTGTTTAAGTATCTTATACTAGTAGTTGAAAATGCAAACTTTGTACAATTAAGTTAAT